TGTCAACAAATGGGTATGTAATCCAACACAACAAAACACCATGTAATGATAACATAGTTAAGGATGGTGTGAATGAAGCTGAATGGTACTCTTTTTTTCTCGGGTTGTATTGCCCTCTACAGGAGAAAAGGAATTCCTGCAATAGTTCACCCATAAGAACAAGCAGTCTGACAGGGGTCCTCATGGCCACAGCCCAAAATAGAATGTCATTAAAAATGTATTATTTTACATCAAAATAAAAATGATTGTTAGCATAAAAAGCAAGCCATGAGAATATATTAATTGCATTTAAAATTTATATATTTTCCCATCCAACCATCATCCATATTTTAAAATATATTACTTAAAACATCTGCCTGCAAAAAGATCTCTGTGTTACACTGCACAATGAAATACTGTTACTTTTACTCATTAAATGGACTCTAACATCTGGCGTATCAACCTGCTTAGCAGGTCAAGTACAGACTAATTACCTTATAAATCTATAACCAAACCCACTGCTTTACCCGTCATAATTTTTAAAAGGTGAACCGATATGATAAAAAAAAAAATTATCACAACAGATTAAATGATTCATTAGATAATATGCTATATAAATATATCCAAATAAATTATTTAATGTAAACCAATAATAAGGTCCTGAAAATAATTATCATGGAATGCATTTATTTTAGGGCTACAACTAAAGATTATTTTTCTAATCCATTAATCTGTCGATTATTAATAATTGGACAGCAAAAGATTCCTAGAATTAAACCAGGTGAAATTAACCACTGTGTAGTCTGTGTACTTTTTAAATTATTTATATGGTCAGTATATTTCTGCAGTGCAAGTGCAATAACCCAAGTCAACTACTATGTAGTCATCCCTTAGCTCTCACTGTGCAGATATTTTTATATCTAAGGGAAACATATTCAAGGACATTAAAACTTTTTTCGTTTTATAATATCATTTTTTGTACTATATACACTCTTTTCATATTGTCTGTCACATTTTATCTCAGTGGTATTTTTCTTCGAATCTTTGTACTCTATATAACCAACTGGAACCAGAATTTCCCTAAAGGAATAATCCCAAGTGATAAATAAGGTTGAGTCTTAAGTCTAAAACTTTACACTTGAGGAGCTCTCGGTAGTGCATATTTACGGACAAAAATGTTTTTGTTTTGTTTTTTTTTAGGTAAAATGCAAAACTGAATTCAAATTTCTTTTCAATTTTGGTATAATTACTGCTCTAAGTGGGTTGCTCTGTTGGCTAAAGGCCTGTTTTAGAGTCTATTTACTACAGTGGACGATTAATTGATTACTAGGTTAGTTAGTAGAAAATTTTTCAATAATTGATTGATCTGATTTTTACAGCCATAATTTATTTTACCTTCAATTAAAATTTCCCAAAATCTATATTAAAAATCTTACAGGTTTGAAGTTGACTTTATGTGCAGTGCAACCAAAGATATGTTAGCATCTATCTAGAAACAAGTTCAGTAAATGGTATTTACTATACATTTAAGACGTGATAAAGTCAATATTACTTTTCACTTTCCATTGGGCCTCTATAAGTCACCTCGGAAAGATCTATAGTTACGTTTATGGTGACAAAATAAGCAAATAGAATTGTAACAATGAGCCATTGTTACCTGTATATTGGCTAAAGTAGCAGCTAAGCAAAGCATCTGATTTTCTACATTGGTTTATTTTTTTTTTTTTGTTTTGGGTGAAGTGGATTTGTTTAGGTTGTGGTTCTTTGGTTGGCCACATCTTGTTTTCATTTTTGTAAAAAGGTAAATTGATTTCACTTCATAAAAGGGAAATTCATGGATTAAAGAGTTAAAACTTTGTGAAATACTCGCCTCTGCTGTTTCACTCTCCATGCAGGTGTGTACAGGACTGCACCATTTGATAATTGAAGGGGGGGAGGTTGATCTGATGTATGGTGTTTTCTATATTGAGTTTAAGTATTTGTTTGGGTTGATTGAAATATTTGTTTTCTGTGTTTATTGGTAAAAGTATTTCTTAATTAGCTGTTTGTTTAAAACAAATTGTCCTTTTTTCTTGTTATTGTGAAGCTGAACATCCTTTTTAAAGTGGTTTCTTCCAATTTAGTTCCCCCTCTATATAAGAAACATGTCTGCCATTGCTCTGTTGGTTGGTGTGGTTTGGTTGATGTCCTGCACCAGAAATTTTTTAAAAGTTTTGTTAGCAGAAAACTCTTCAGAGCATGTACTTCTTTGAACCAGTTTGGGTCCCACCTCTAAGACGGGTTGGCGTCCTGACAAGCATGTGACAAGAATAAAAAAAAAAAATAATCCGCACTCATATCAAACTGCTCTTTTATTCATGAACTGGTAAAATATAGCACATATGTATAAAAATGTAAAAAAGAATTGTACATAAAATAAAACACTTCACTTTATTCTATTAGTTGTTGCTACTAAAATAGCTTTCTTTTGCTAAAGGTGATAATCTTTTGCCAGCAAAAAAGTCAGAATGAAGGATAACAGTTACAAATAGGAAAACAAAGAAAAAAGACGAGCACACGCACACACAAGGAGGGCAACAACCATAAGGTTCATAAAACAATTTTATACAACACTTATCATACATTCTAAATGACAGCACTAACAACTAAAGATGATGCACTTGATGCTAGTGTTAGTGTTGAGCTGTAATACTCTATTTGTGCATCTCTTCCTCTGTTACCTTGAGTCTTTGGTACGTTGTGCACTTGTTCCAAAATGAGCAAATATTAATTGCCATAAGTCCTGAAGGGACACTTTAATGATCAGTTGGATATTTATGCTTTGTGAAACACTTTGTGGCCCTACGGAGCTTTAGAAAGCTCCGATTCTGAGTCACTGTAAAAATACTGTTTGTTTTCTAAATGAGGCTACTAAACGAGTTACTAAAAGAAAGAGGGACTTTTTCCATGCAGTGCTGTAATCACTGCAAATCGTACAAGGAGCTACAGTTGGAACTGGTTGGAATACAGGTAAACAGTTGCACAAAGTACCTCTCTGTACCTGATAAACAATAAACAACAGTGGTAGCTGGTTTAGGCTTTTTTTTGGGATTACAGCCAAAGTGCAGTAGTCCTATGAATGTACCTCAGGTTCTAAAATACAGGAAATGATTACATGTGAATTCTGTAACCTTGTTACCCATCACGTTTAGCTGAGTTCTGTGTGAGCTGGTGGTTAAGTTGATGTAGAGAAAATGCAATGTGTTTAAATATACGTGCATCAGTGTTCCTACTTACATCGCTGGCCCTATTTATTGGAAAAAGAATCATGTGAAAAGCTTAGAATACTTGCTTCTTTTATTGCAGTAGCAAAATCTCATACTGAAAAATTATATTAATTCATCAGAGCAAATTGATGGTACACTTTAAAATAACTTTTTCTGTGCTGCTCTTTTTAAAGACGACCACAGAGGCTGGGGATTCCTGTTTAATGTTGCATGATTGTTCCGTTTTCATTCAAGTAAATATGACATGACAGAAAATTGCAGTTAGATGTGTAAACGAGACAACAAAGACAAAATAAACAGCCTGTTCTAAGCAGGTCTGTTCATTTTTCAATTCTAACTTTTGCTAGAAATGATTATAAAAACAATATTATCTTTAAAAAGTATTTGTATTATTATTTTCCCAAGTTTAACTTTGCTAAGAAGTTTTATTTTGTAATTTCTTCTGTTGGTAGTTGGCTTCAGTCCCTTGCAAAGGCTCAATCAGTGTGCAGCCCTAATCTTTTGAGAAATCAGCATTACTATGGATAGTTAAGGTAGAGGCGGTGGAAAGGTCTCATAACTATTATGAAAGAGCGACATTAACCAACACAGGTATGAAAATGGCAGATGGACAAATACAGTAGCAGAATTTAGCAAATAAAACATGTTGTGTCAGTTTGATTATGTAGGCACACCACTGATTTAAATGCAAAGATGAAGACCCAATAACATTTGGAAGATTTGCTGTTCATCAACCTAAACTTGAAGCAATCTCTGATCAGATTAAACAGAACGTGACAGAAATGCATTAAACATATTGCACCTAAATTTAAATGCATTTAAAGGATCCTTTAGTAGCGTAATGCACTGACAGGTAACAAAAATCTTTTGTCATATCAAATTGGTTTGAGTGTCGTTTCAACTTTGAGGTGTAAGGTTTTTACCCATTAGCTGTGGCTAAGACGCCATCTGGTTCAGAGACAATGAAACCTGAGCACCATTGACCCTTCTATCCAAAGTAATACCATGAGTAATGTCTTTAACTTTATTTCATAATCTCTCCTTTTTTTAGGGTTGGTTTTATTCCATCTGTGCAACATTGAGAAAGATGCTGATCCATTTCTTTTTTAGATTATTACAATGAAAAAAAGCTTTAAATAATAACTCTTAAGACAGGATTTTTTTTAGTGCAAGACTAAGCTACTGCAATAAAAATGGGCCTATATTAAAGCTCTTTAAACATATTTCAGAAGGGTGCCAATAAACAAATAAATGTATTATGCTTGAGCTTTGCTCATAATATGCACCTCAAAAGGAGTACACACATTCTGGTAGAAATAAAAAAAATAGTAGTAGCTGCTTTAGAAACACTTAAGGTAAACATGTGGAGTGCAAACTCTCTGTCTGGTAATTTTAATGTACATGTTATGTGAACACCAACAATTCAAAACAGTCCTGAGTGTCTGTGTAGGAACATGTGCAGGGTTACAATACATGTGATTGCTCTGCATTGGTGCATCTGCAGAAATACTGATATGCTGCTGGTACAGATTGTGCTGGTACTATAAAGGAGGAAATCAAGAGTAACACAGAAGATTTACTAGGCCAGAGAAACTTTTCTCAGTCACTAAAAGCATAGCTTTCTCGTCTCTTCAAACAAAGCAAAAATACTAACCCCTGGACATTGAGCTTCAAGCAAACTATAAGGCAAACTATCAAAAGACAACCATTCAATGTCTCATT